CTCTCTCAAATATTTGTATTGCGGATCTCGCCGAAGCAAGCGATCCCACCGATTCGTTTCAGAGAGCCCATTTCAGCCACCTGTACTCAGGATCGAAGTTTTTCGTTCATGGCTCATGACTCATTACCGTAAGTGAGCATTGGGGTGACGATCGACTTGAACACCGAGAGCTTATTCTTCACGCTCAGCTCAGCTTTGGTCACAGTGGTTCTGGCAGTTCATGCTCTACACCAGTGACTACTTGAATCCGCCGGTCGACTTTTTCAAATTTTCCATCGCCAGTAAACACGACCCGGAGATGTTTGAACTTCTTCACCCGCTCCACTGCTTCTACGTTAATGTGAAGAGAGCAACGGGTAGGAGGACGAGATAGGATTAGGCATTTCGTCTTAGATGCATTTACCCGCATTCCAGTTACGTCGCACTCAGCTGCGAACTGTTCCAGAGAGTGCTGTAGATCACTTTCAGATGGTGCCAATAAGACAAAGTCGTCTGCAAACAGCAAGCTTCTCAACCCCACATCTGACTATTCCGTCCATGTACAACACAGACAGGAGAGGGGACAGGGCGCAGCTTTGGCGAAGACCAGTGCCAACGTTTATAGGTCTCGATTTGAAGCCATTTTCTTTCACGCAGCACCTGCTATCAACATGTAGTGACTGAATGGCTCATAGCAACTGGCCAACGATCCCATATGTTTGTAGGCGCGCCTGTAGTTTGTTACGCGGGATCTGGTCATAGGCTTACCCCAGGTTAAGAAAGCGTGTGTAAACCGTACGAGTGTACTCCCACGATTTCTCAACAATCTGGCTTTAGGCGATGATATGAGCAGAGGTTCTCTGGTTTTCTTTTATCTTAGAGGTAGCCATTCCGCTGCACTTCCTTCCAGCATTTTTGTTTTTTGTTGATGTTTACTCAGAGGCTCACTAAATTGATGTCCTGATGATTGGAACAATCTCGCGAACAGTGGTACTAATATACTCGTTTTCCAGTCCGTTGATATCTTCCTCATTGTTTTTGCAGTTTGACAGACATATGTTTGCCAGAACATGTCTTGTTCGCCCATAGTTTTAAGCATCTCAGGGCGGATTTCACTGATTCCAGCAGCCTTGCCAGTTTTGCAGCTTTATATATATACACATATATGTATGTATGCATGTATATATGTATGTGTTTATGTATGTATCTGTGTATATGCACTGACTGCACTGTTGTCACAGACAATCAAAGGAACAGGTCCCGGCGGAAGGATACTCGCTGAAGACGTCGAAGCCGCTGCAGCCGCTGCAGCGAAACCTACCGTTGAAGCGTTCGCGACCGTTCCAGTTCCGTCAACGCCGAATTTCGTTGACATACCATTGTCGAATATGCGCAGGGTATATTGTTTATTCTGTCCTTATCGAAGTATGACTACTGAACGTTTTAGACAATAGCCAAGCGCCTTCTATTATCCAAACAGACGATTCCGCATTACTATGTTTCCGTGGACGTGAAGATGGACGAGATTCTGAAGTAGACTGTTTATTAGCTGTTATCCACTTTTAGTTATTACGGTAAACCTCGAGCTGTTTGTTTGCAAATATGGCCCGCAATTACAGTAAAAGCGTCACTCGCAGCTTTTCTCAGCTGTTGCAGTAGCATATAAATTATCTTAAATAATAATAGCATTATTCTTGTGAAATTTATTCGATTAGCGAACAATCAGGTTTTTCTCTTAATGAAAGAGCTTGCCTCGTAATTACCGAATTCGCTGTACTCCTGCAGGTTTTTTGCCTGTAACTTTCTTTTGTTATCAACGGAGGCTAATGATTTGAACAGAGTGAAATTTTTGACGCTAATAAATTTTGAGTTATTCAGATTGTGATGACTCATCAGTGTTAAGCTTTGTCTCATATGTGCATTAGTGGTTGTTTGTTGATTGAAAAATTCGTATTCTATGTCGCGATTCTCGACGAGAGTTTGCTCTATTATGTATTCTTCTCAGACACTCATGGGCACTGAAAGGTTCCGGTAAGAAACAGGTTTGAGCAGATTCCATTCTCTTACCTAAAACTTTGGTTTCCTTTATTCAACTGCATCTCAGTTGTTTCTTGTACGTAATTCACTTTTTGCTCTGATCTTATTTTCGACAAATTTTTCATTGTTTGTTCCTCATGTTCAAGGAAGTGAGCCTGGGAGTTCGCTTGTTTGACATTTTCAAGTCTGAAGTCTGTCCAAAATATATTTTGGGTGTCTTTTATGTTATGTCAGATGTTCATTTATGACACCGAATGACCTTTGTCTGGTATAACAACGTTGTGTAACTTTTGTACGTTTTGTCGTTAAGACGCTTCTTCCAAGTACTGTACGTTATGAAATTGGTTCTTTTCATTCGCTTTCAGAAGTCACTTCTGTTCGCCAGAGCCAGTGTGTTCGTTTGAACGAGATCTTAGCGATGATATATCCGCTATAGAATTTCTTTGCGCTTCACCATAAAAGGTTGCTGGCTTCGGTTTGAATGAAGCGTCGCCATAGTCGTAAATGGTCCTCTTTTCTCAGTTCCGTCTTTGAAATTGCTGAGTTACCGTTACTCCAATGTGCTTTCATATACTTTTAGTTCTTCCTCTTTAATTTCACTGTTCCTCCTTAAGTTATTTGCTCCTTACACATAAGAACGATCTCCCAGACATTGTTTAGTCACAATTTAACCTATAGTTCTGTTTATCTTTTCAGTGACGTTCTTCGAATCACGAGACGGCGAAGCGGTACTGTAGAGTGACCAGTTTAAGTGTTTCGGTGCCTTAATCTTCAGCAATGAATGTAACCAATCAAAGTTCCTGCCAGTGCTTTCTGGTAGCTGTAGGAATCTCCCTTTCCATAAAAATCTTTCCGCTATACTTTACCTCGACTGGTCAGTACTGTTGTATGGTATGGAGGCCGTCGCTTTGACGAAGCACCAAGATGAAACAGTTGACAGAGTACAGCAGTTTTGGCTTCAGCACATAATGTGGAACCGAAACCACATCAGAAACGACTCTATTCTGTTCGTGACGCAGGTGTCATCCGGGAGGGGGGGGGGTGAGTTG